ACTACCATTTCATGGAATGTCTTGAGTAGGTGTCAATAACCATGGGGAAAAATACGCACTATACTCCTCTTTCTGTCCCAAAAGTTCTCTAATTATTAGTCCACCTTTTATTACAGCACAAGCTCACTCCTCATCATGGTCTCAGACCTGTCACTAGCCATCACTACAGTGTGCATTTCTCCTGGCCCATGCTTTGCATATCCCATCTCGGTCACAGCTCCTGCCAAGGAGGTCAGGCAGATGACTGCAGCTGCCTAAGATACATGAAAGAAGCATTACTTTTGTATTTCTTAGCAAATATTTGTTACTAAACACAGGAGAGCTTGTAGTAAGGACATCATCCCCAACCCTTTCTGTTTTTCCCATTAAAGATGAAGCACCTGAACTGGGGGGGGATGGCTACGAATGTCGCTTGCTGAACAGACCACGCAAAATCTCGGGGAGCTCAGTAACATTAATTCAGAAGTAACAGCCTACAGAGGGAAGGTGGAATTACACTCCCCAAAACCTTACAGGGCGAACTAATGGACTCAGTCTAAGCAACCTTGGTGGCACTGCTGAACAAACACCTCGGTTTAATAAGTAGCATGATCGAGAATAGCAAGAGCTTTGGATCCAGTAAGAACAAGCCGGTGAGTTATACCAAAAAAATCTTCCAGTGACTTTTGATCTATTGCTGGAACAGTTCCGGAATACTCAATATGCTCTCAGATTTTCACTTGCGAAAAAACCTTGCTGCTCTCCTGGCGTTTAAGGGAAGATTTCTCCTCAAAGGCACTACCCCCTCCTCCGGGGAAGATTCAGATGAGTGGGCCTGGTTAGCTTCGAAAATAGAGCAACGTCAGGGAGCCAAGGAAAGGAGAAGGAAGGAAAGAGCAAAGGGAAAAGATGAAGGACTTTTGTTTTTCAAATTTCAAAAGCCCGAGAGGGACTACTCAGTGAAATTAAAAGACAGCAGATTAAAAACAGACAAAAGGAAACAGTTTTTTCCCATGATGTGTGGTTAAAACTGCAGAAAATATAATTACCACAGGAAGCACTGCAGTCAAGAGCTCAGCAAGATTCTGATGGGGTGGCAGATGTATAAGGATATCAAACATATCACGAGCAATTTAAAACTGCTGGAAGGCACATGTATTTCTTCAGGGAAAACTGTCCAACCTTTTTAAAATTGCACAAAGAAATGTGCAAATCAGAGCGAGCTACGAAGAAAAAGGTCTCTGAACGTGCAAGATAATGCACCCACAGGGTTCCATTAAAGAAATATCACCTCCCCCTAAATCCTTTGCATTTATTCTCGCTCTCTCCCTTTAAAGGAACAGTATGGGAAATGTCAGTATGAGCCCTGTTGCAATGACCAGTTCCTTTATGGTATTGCCTGAAGGGAAAAGGTATCTGCTCAACACCTTTCTCGGGTGCTGGCATCTTTGGCAGCTTTCAGCCTGTCTCATGTATCTGCAAGCAGTAATAACCTCGAACTGCACACATCAGGTTCCAGGAGCAGCTGGGTTGTTTCTAATTCCCTGTAAGAACTTCTTTATGGAAAGAGTTGTTAGGCATTGGAATAGGCTGCCCAGGGAAGTGGTTGAGTCACCATCCCTGGAGGTCTTTAAAAGATGTAGAGCTTAGGGATATGGTTTAGTGGAGGACTGGTTAGTCCTCCAGAGGTTGGTCAGAGGTTGGACTGGGTGATCTTGGAGGTCTCTTCCAACCTAGATGATTCTGTGATTCTGTACTTGGATTGTTTCTAAAAGCAGGAAGTGCTATGCATAGTTTTTCTGAATTTTCTAAACTCCTTTAAACATGACTGAGTAGTCTTAATAATAATGGTTGCAGTGTCCTAAAGAAATAGTCCTGTTATTTCACATACCTGTATGTGCTCTGTTGTGTGTCAGAGAAAAGAATACCTAAAACTCGTGATTTTTTCATTTAAGTGAAACAGCCTCTCAACAGGATGCCTTTGCAACAACATGACTTTTACAAAGAGGGGAGGCATTATAAGCAACTTAGGGCAGCAATACTCTGATGCTGAATTTATAGTCTTCCTAAACAATATATTCCAGTGCATTACTACTGTTGCTGATATATCAATTCTCTTCTAGGATATCTTTTTATCAATATTAGTCTATTACTTTACATCCTACCCACCAAACAAGAGACTCCCTTCCTTTCTGTAGCATCCTTCTATGCATTTTAAGATGTTAAAGCAACCCTTTAACGCCAAGTTGCACTGCTCATGCCAGTGCTTGACATTACTCTAGCAATCAGACAGATACTGGGTATAAAAGGAAAAGAATTTTCTGAAACATAAGGAATTTCACAAAGCCAAGTTTGGCAAGCCTGGCTCAGAGCTCTGAAATGGTACCAAAACCCCTCTCTTTGGGTTATACACTTTCCAGCTTCTTGTTCCTGCTATGACTTCCACTGTCTCCAATTTAAGATCAGACGAGTCCCATGTCCTCTCTTCTTACAGCCCGCTCAGTGACTGCAAACTTTCTGCCTTATCTGTAAGACTGGGTATGAAGCAGAGTTTTGAAGTGGTTTGAACAAAGATATTGGCTACATCACTACATCACTAACTGGGAGGTACATCCTTTACAGAGACCCAGTGATGGGTTATGTAGTACTAGAGTCACACCTTTGCCTGGAAAACAAATGGAAGAAGAAAAAAAAAAAGGATGTGTTGCCATTAATCCTCACATTAGTAGTCTGCTTAGAGAAACATTCCAATTTTCTGCCTTTGAAACTGCTAAGAATAATATCAGGAGTAAAGTAATATCTCTGATATAATACAAGAAAGAATAAGAAACAATAAATTACATTTGAATCCCTATAACCAACCAATTCCTCTGTTATTTGCTAAAAATGTACAACCAAGAAGGGTAGGACAAAAAACTGTAACACCTTCACAAAGCTCAGCAAACTTGCCATGAATTTTAAAAATAAAGGTTCCTTTCTAAAGCAAATGGGAAAAATATGGTTAGTATTAATGTTTATGAGCAGTCCTATAAGTGTACAACACTTTTGCCAGCTCTGACGGAGAAACTAACATTAAAATCCCAATTTGCTTTTCAAGTAAGGACTAAAGGACTATTTACCCTACGATCTCTTGTCATTTATTTCTTAGGTGGAGATACAATCCACATGTGATCAAGAAAGTGAAAAAGTTACAATAAAATCGTTAATACAAAATGTTTTCTGCAGGAAAGATATCTTTGCTATGAACATAAGCCGCATGAAGATTGAGTGGTGAGATGGGGAGACACTCCTCTGAGGACTGCTGGAGTTCTGCATGCTGTGTACAAGCCCGTATGTTGTCATGTATGGGCAATGCACTTAGTAAAGCTGACTAACAGGACTGTGATTAGGATGCACTGGACTAATTTTTTCCACTTACAAGTTGTGGTATTACAAAATATTGTTTACCATTACACTTGCTGTTTATGCAATATATGATCTGAAATATGTGATGAAAACCGTATCAATCTGGTGCCCAAGAGGAACAAAGAGACCACTTTTCATACATGTTGGAAAAAAAAGGGTAAGAACCATATACTAAAGTGAAAATATGAGAAGGACTGAAGGAGCAGGGAAATTTCTCAGACATGTACCTGCTGAATATCCAAAACACTATTCTGACAACCTTAAACAACTTTTAGGAGTTTTAGGAGTGTACCAACTCACTGTACCAAACACTACTACGCATCCCCTCGCCTACTTGTGTCTTTGCAAACTTTCCATCAAACAGAAATCCAGCAGAAGCCAACCCACTTGTAAAGAGGGAAGGGAAAATACCTCTGAACTCTTTTCACTTTTGCAAGTTTAATCTGCCAGTTTTCATCCTTCTTTGAAAACTGTCCCATCTCCCACCATTCTCCCAAACAAACACAAGGTTTCGGCAACCTTTTTGTTAACACCATTTTTATAATAACTTCTAAATAGATCAATAGATGAAATTTCCACCTCCCTCTGGTCCTGCTATTTCACTCCACGAAATTAACAGTCTGGGACAGACAGGACAGGTGACAGTCTCCGTGTTACCAGTGAGACAACTTTTACCCCACTGTGTGTGCAGAAAGGACATGGCTACATAATTAAAAATCCGCAGTTCACCCCCCTGGTCTCAGTAAATCTCCTCACAACAGATATTCCAGTTTCCTCATTTTACTTCCAATTCACATCAGTGGTGTGAGATGCGTACTTTGAACATCTGACTCCCAGGATGCTCTCTTCTTAAGAAATCTTTCATCACACATCATAGTTATATTGAAAATCTTGCTTTTGCATCAAGTATTCATTGTGGTATGTTATCTTTTTTCCTTGAATCATTGACAAAAACGTTATTCCTCTTTCCTCTTCCATTGAAGTCCCTATGAATCCATTAACTTCTTCCTCTGAGCCCTGGTAGTGCTGAAGTAACATTTGCCGTTCTGCATTTTGCCACACATGAGAGTGTGATGCCACTGTATGGGGATAGCTCCACTTCCCATGACATAAACAGGACCTCTCTGCAAAGGTAAGTCCAATCTCACACATTGCAATGAAACCAAGCTATAGGAACAGGAGAACTGCATTTTCAAACAAAAGAGATTTGTTCTTCTGACCAAATTTGTGGAGGTTAATGTAGCTTGTCAGCTGGGACTCAGTTCCTATACGGCACAGGATGCCACCATGCAAAAGCATTGCTGTCCCTCCAGAACACTTAATTTAGTAAGCAGTGCCTTTGAGTCCATTTTAGCAGTTAAAACCTGCTTCGTTTAAAATCTTTAAATTCAAAAGTTTTGATATTAAAATACTTTATGAACTCCTGACCATTTCAATAAAATAGGCTTAAACTACTGTTGATTAAAACAGAAATGTCTAACTTGAGTACATTATGTTGCATTTCTAAATACTCGGTAGCTTAATACTTAACAAATTTTGCCGACTTGTCAGATTGGATTACTTGGTGAAAGTACAGAGGTGACTTCACTTTCTAACATGAGTAAGCTTATCCTTACCTGTTTGGAGATCTCAGTACTTTTTCAGACACTTTGGAAACATGCACTTTCAGTAGTTTCCTGATATTCTTGTTGCATTAAGAAGCGATCACAACAAGCAGCTAAAGAATCGTAGTCCCCAAAAATTTCTCAGCCCTTGCCAGTAACTATGTGGTTTTCATTGCTATTGAGCTTATCCTGAACCTGTAGTTAATCATTAAGACACGTTGCACAACGTTCACCAGCTTTACCAGTCATTCTTTCTCAATAAGGAGGAAAAAAAGGAAAGCTGCTGAACGCATTCTGCTGCCGTGCACAGGTATTTGGGGTGCGATACGTGACTTCTTATTTACCCAGGGAGCCTCAAGTGAAAATGTAGGAGCATAAGAAAGAGGGGCACTGCGCGGGCCCTGAGCTGAAGCCCTCCACCCCTCAGGAGCAGCCCCCTGGCCGCCCCCATTCAGCGCCGCCATTTTGCAGCGCGTCCCCTGCAGGAGGCTGGCGGTGCAGCCTCACCGCTCTGCCCGTGCTTCACGGCAGGCGCTGCCGAGGGACGCAGCTGTCTCAATGAAACAAAACACCCCCAAATCTCCCCATGTTTAAAGTAAAACAGTGAGACCCCAGCCGCTCGGGCTCCATGGGAACCCCTGCCCGGAGCCCAGCCGCCCACGGAGGGAGCCGCGCCCGCCGCCTGCCGGCCCAGCCCGGCCTCGCCGCCCCAGGAGGGGCACGGGGTGTAGGGAAAAGTGTTTCTTTTTATTGCATCGCAAGATCCAGTTCACAGCCTATGTTTCTGTCTGAGCAGTCCCGGGTCCTCGGCATTAAAAAGCTGCCTGAGGCCGGGGAGCGTGGCTGGGGTCTGCTGAGCCACCTCCTGCCGCAGCCAGGCTGCCAGCCTTTGGGAGGTGTCTCTGGTGGGGGAAGCCCAGAGACATTTGGGATGTAGCCAGAGCTAGGATGAGCCCTTCTCCCTCAGTGTGTAAGTGCTGGACGGCTGGGGACAGCCTCTCAGACCTGCCCCTGCACTGCAGCTCTTTGTGAGGAAAAAAGAAAAAAAAACACCCAAGACTTCAGTAGGTTGCACCCCTCCCTCCCCACCACCTCCTGTATTTTTTTTTCTCCTTTGCTCGCACACAGCAGGAGGAAAAGCTGCATTTTATCCTGAAGGCTGCTGGTGCGAGAGAGGCCTTCACAACGTGCTGCTACACAGCAGCTGAACAAAAAAGCCCAGAAATAACCATTACTGTGTAACTTCTAGGATACCCACTCCTGCCTTTCAAGTGAGCGCTATCCCTGCTGTAATACTCATGTTAGAGGATGAGGTGTAAGCAAGGTGCAGTCCCCATCATTTATCACCTTGTTTTGAGGCCACATGAAGCCAGCTACTGCCTTTGTGCAGCATACCCTATGCAAGCAGGCTGGGGGCAATCACTTCCCTCTGCTACCTTCAGTTGTTTCTGTGTGAGTTGGCCCCCATGTGAACACATACTGTATCAGACCAAAAAATATCTCTAGCCCTAGAAGAAAAAAAAAAAAAAAAAAGAAACTGGGCCCCTACACGTTAGGTGATGCCCTGTGACTTTTGATTGAAAAATAAAGTAATTAAGTATTTTGCGTTCTGCCTATGTTTTTACAGAAGTCTACTATACTTCCATCAGTCACTGCTTTCTACTCTGTGGAACCATCTGTGTATATTTGATCGTTTTTATGACCAACCCGTTTGCTTTTCCTATAGCTCCTCCATTTCTCCTGCATCCGAAGTCTTCCTTCTCACTCCTGCCCCGGGAGTTCCTGCTCCCTTATCCCTTCTTGAAGGACAGCAGCTTCTAGGATTCTGTTTGTGAAGGTGTACGTATTAGAAAGAAGATGCAGTGCTTTCTCAGTTTTCTTCTTCTCTGCGGTGCTGTTTTATAAGGGAGATCAAAGACTTGTTCAGGGAATTCATTGCAAGTATTTTGAGACAAACATTTTAAGCCCTCGGTGTTTCTGTTTCTTGTTATTCAGCTGTTTTCACAAACCCTATACACTTCAGTGAAAATTAAATGATTTCTTCTACCCACCTATTCTGTCGTTACTCTTCTTCCATGACTGTGTTGTTAGGCAATTTTTCATGAAGCTCTAATCCTCACTGCTTTCCTCATTTCTGTTTTCTGTCTTTGGACCTGATTCTGAGAGTACTGCACTAACATAAAACTAAGCATGTAAGAATCATACGGAACACACAAATATCTACCAGAAATTCAGTGGAAAAGAGAAGTGTAATGGAGGAAATTGAATGCTGAAAAGGTTTAACTAAATTAAAATACTTCTGAATACGATGTATCCAGCATTCTTTGTGAAGCAGTGAAGTTGTACATTTTCAGTATTTGACTTAGCTCTTTTAACTTTATAAAATTATTGCCTCATTTGAATTGCCCTATTGAATCATACTTTTACCTTCCTTTAGTCTTGATGGCAATTAGACTGTTAGGAGAATGGGCAGGCTGTAGAGAACACCAATTCCATAGGTATTTCTTTGTTTGATAACCCCAAATGGCAATTCTGTCACCTCTGGAGAATGTGTCTCAAAAGGCAGATAAAATCTGTCTTTATTTATAAACAAAGTCCGAGGGAAGAGGAAGGGAAATTGACTTTCTACAGAATTGCTGATCAGCACTGGAGCACCACAATACTACGTTCCTCATCACAACCAAACCACAAAGTAGGCAATACTGCCCAAGAGCACTTCTTCTTCCTACTTCATTTCCCTTCCCTATTTAGCTCTCATGAGATGTTTTTCTTAGGAAGAGCTATACTTCTGCCTGCAGCTGACCTGAGCATTAGAGCCTATAAATGCAGGCTGTGCTTTGACTCAGAGCTAGCAGCTGTGTTTATACTTTTGCTTTCCTGTTAAACATTTGTGGCACCAGAACCCTGCAGCCAACAGATGGAAAACACCTGATTAAAGCAAAGCATTCAACCTGGGTAACCAACAAGTGTCATAAGACGCTGTTAGGCGCAGCTTAGTGTCTTGTGATAAACCAATCTTCCTTGTAAAAACATCTGCTTGTATCTGTGCAAAATGATGAGCAATTAGAGCAGAATGTCTTCAGGCTAAGAGCTTGCAATGTGAGTGTTATACAAACTAATTTATTTTGAAGTCTCAGATGTGACTAATCACAATATCTAATGAAAATCATATAGCTCTTGGACATAGTTGTGGTTATATTAAGTTTTCAAATCCTAACTAAATTGTGCTCAAAGTTAAGGAAGGAAGACATGATATTTAGGATGCAGAAGCAACCCAAATTAAGGCAATGTGGAGATTTCAAAGGAAGACATCTCTTTTCTCCATCTGCTGTCATAGTTGCAGGATTTCCCAGGACGTCAGACAATCAATGCCTGAGACACAATGCAATATACAAGGTAGACATCAACAAAGCAGATTAAAGCATCCCTAAATTAGCAGCAACATAAATTTGAGGTTGTCTGTAGTTCAACTTGAAGGAAAATGGCTTCTCTGGTGATATTTTTCTCATCTGGGTTTGCAGGTACAGGCTGAAGCAGCCATCTGGTGTTACAACAAACCCAGCTTTAGGGTTCTGTGTATCAAGATGAAAGAGCTGCAGGTACAGTCTGCGAAACACTAGGTCCGATTCAAATTTACTCGTAGGTTCAAACGCGTTTTGGCAGGTGAAATGAATGCTAGAAGGCTTCCTGTAGGATCAGACATTGTCCGATCATGTCACTGTTGTCCTGCAATTAATGTAAAGCCAACACAAACCTTCTGTCAGGCACAGTAACTAGTTCAAATCTGTACCGTGTACCCATTTCTGACCCAGATTAATTTTATACTTGTGAACGTTCTGATACCTGCTGTGAACGTCTAAGGCCAGGGATCATTTTGCTGTTTGATCCATTGCTCTGCTTGTTTGTTCCCCCTTGCTCTGCAGGGATCATTTTGCAGTCACCACAGTTGCGGGCAGTTTGGGCAAGAATGCAGATGCTGCTGCCCTGCCGTTGGGCAGGCTTAGCAACACATATTGACCATGCTTATATATTTAACTTTTTTTTTTTTTTGTAGGATCATATTGACTTTTTATGATGACAGAGGATGCCAGTTTCACTGTTAGCACAGCTTCCTTTAGCTAAGTGGCATCTTCAAACCCTTTCTGTAGGCAATTACTCCCCTTCATTCAACTCAATGACTAAGTTGGTTTCTTTAGCTGCTAACAGGGTAGAGAGCTCTACGTGCTTTAACATGCATCTCCAGATAGAGAAAATTTGGGACTATCAAAAAAACAAAACGACTACCCTTGTGCTGATGAATGAATTTCACACCGCTGATATATAACTCACACCCCAGTGCAATACCAGCTCATGTGTAGTCACACTGCATGCTGAAGCCAAAGCATGACTAACGCTTGAAGTGGAATGTGTTTGCTGGCTTCCACGGGTTAGCAAAACAGAAACAGGAAAGATTGTGTCCAACGAGCAAGTGAAGCATTTCCAACCGTCTATTACTCTAATGAGCAGCACCACCACCAATCTCCTTCCCAGCAGAGCGGCAGGAGTTTAAGCAAAAACGTATTTTGTGCAGATGTGCTTTTCAACCAGGGTGCTGATGGGCCACTCGAATACAAGGCTTATGGGACCCAATAAGTAACTGCTTTCTGAAAGTACTACTGAGAAGTGGCCCAATCCAGCAGCTATCATGCCAAGGGAGCGCTTTATCCAGAGCATAGATTTGCAGTGAGTTATGGTTGTGTTTTATAAGCCAAAAGATGCTAGTGCTCTATTTCCTAATTTGATTCCAGCAATGTTTCCCAAATGAATATCGTAAATATCACAGCAGAATATCCGAAATAATTTCCCTCAAGCAAAAGAGGTGAACAACTTCTTCTTCAAATATAGGACAAACTGTCCTAATAGGAATCATCAGACAGAGCAGCTGGAATGGAGGTATTTTGTGGTCTCTGTTTTCCTTTTAACTCTTCTTAAAGGATGTTTAATATGGTAACTCACCCCAAATAACCCTGAATTAAGGCAAGACATGCTGTGTACAGAGATACACCCAACAGAAGACATTCATTCCAATATAAAATGAATAGCATTGTATTAACGTTTATTTCTAATTACAAGAAACAGAATATCAGTCCCTTATTTGTACAAAAATACCTGAAAGATTACAATTAGGTTCACAAGCCAAAAAGCTATTTACAGTATGAAGCAAAGCATATTGAATAAAGGTTTTGTCTCTTAAGTTAATACCTTTTGCATTCCCTGAAACTTTAAACTTTATTCCATTTTACAGTCACTAAATCTTGCATTGTGACAATATAATTTACGATAAGCAAGTCTTGCCACTGGAAAGGTGCATTGATTGGTCAAACTGTCAGGTATTTAGTGCAGAAAAGATAAGACAAAACATCTAAACTGAGGCACGTGTTTCTTCAAGATTAATTAACAAATAAAAAGTTTTTTTGTACTTTTAACACCTATCGTAACATAACTTAACTAGTAACCTCATTACCAAAATGGTTTGGCATTTTCCTTCTCAACATATTCAAGATTGCTACATGAAGTATTTATTTAGAAAATAAAATCACAGGCAAAAAGATAAAAATTCAACAGGCTCCAAAACAACCCTGAGCATCCCCTTTACATTCATGTCATTTAAATACAAAAATAAGAGTCAAATGTCCTTCAGTCCTTGGTATTCTGAGCTGGCAGCCAGCTGAATCTGTTGGAAAACTAAGGTGGCATTGACTGTTTTCCAGCAGAAAGAAGACAAAGCAGTGATCTGCTTAAGTAAGATTGTTGCCACTTTGAAGGTGGTCACTTTCTCAAAACAGCTCACTTTAGCTGGGAAAAGTACAAAATACTAAGTCAACCATCTACATACAAAAATCATGATTCATAGTCAAACTTTTATTCTCAATTTAAATAAGATGCAAGTTTTTTGTTTTTTATAAATATGAAACACTGCAAATACTATCCGCCTACTGGGAAAAATGCATGGCCGTCACTAAGCTATGTAAACAGAAAAACTTAAAACTACAGCATAAATGGTCTTATTAAACTGGTAATGTAGTCAATACAAGTATCTTTTTTCTCCTAATAGGGGCCAAATAGAAGCATGCAAAGTGAAGTCAGACTTAAGTTAGCTTAATTTCAAGGTTTTAAAATACATTGTCTAGAAAGCAGGAACACTCATTTCACTATGTACAATTAAAAAAAAAAAAAGGCTTCTACTAAAAACAAAATCAAGTTTCTTCATTTTTATATCTAGACATTAAATGGAAAAAAAATACTAAATGTGTTCTGTAAACTAAAATACAGTGTTTCTATACCATTGACATAGTTATAAGCTGATATGGACGACTCAGGCAGGTTATGGTTTGTCTTAAGCTATTCTCAACACTACATGAAGACCTAAAGGTGTGGAATTTTTTTCCTTCTTTACCCTTTCAGATGGCTAAGATTTCAAACCCAGTGGCAAACATCAGTAAGGATGGCAAACTAGTCTGCATAAATCATTTACCATCTCAAGAATGCTCCGTTCTGCACTATGTTCTGGAAGTTCCCAGGGCGAAGTGTTTCTCGCTATGGATAAACGCATGAAGTGTTGGAAAGTTAATCCAGTAACAGTTCCTGCACCGACCGTGTTGCTCGAAGAATATTTGCAGTTGGAGGATTAACGTGGGACTCATTTAATTTTAGCACTGGTTTATCATCAGAAAGAATTATTGTGTAAACATTAAATAATTGATTTAAACATTAACAATAAGGTACTTCTGATGACAAACCAGCACCAGAGCAGGAGACGTGCTTGTCTGCAGTAGGTACTGGCGTGCATTAGTGTGTAGGACACGGGAATTACCAGTTACCTCGATGGATGATATTGCCAGCAGCTAGTTCACAAATGCCAGTCACAATTAAATGAGCTTCCATTCCCAGTATGTTCTTTCTCACCATGTAAACTTTCATGGCCCTACAGAAAGCAGAAGGGGTATAGTTCTCTTTGCGCCCTATCCCCCAAGAGAGCTTTGTTTCACTGTAGCTTTACAATGTGGAAAGAGCT